AAGCCAGCTTGCTAGTCTGTCAAGTTCCTCACTGTCTTTGGGGCTCCTAAGACCAGGCTCATATTCTGTGATTCACTCGGAGGGCTCACAGAATGCTATACATAGTCTGTTGGCACACTCACAGCTAGGATTTGCTATAGCAGGAGTATACCAAGCAGTCTTAGTAAAGGAGGCAAATGGAGCTAAGCTGGAGAAGACCAGCCACAGCCTGTAAGAACCCTCTCATGCAGCCACGCAAGACAAACTTAATTCCTTCAGGAAAGAGTTGTGACAGGTGTGAAATGTCTATTAGGCATGTGCACCAGGGACTTGTTGCCCACCGTGTTTATTGGAGGCTGGTCATTTAGGCAATTCCAGATTCTGAGGAAGAGGTATTCAGCTTAAATCATGTTGTACAGTGCAGGCACAGCGAGCACTCTTTCCAGTTCTGGGGATGGCAGGAAACTTCCAGAAATCTAAATTTGCAGGGGTATCCTTGCAAACCAGGCATTAATAAGGAAGTTCTCTAATTCAAATATGCGATTCCAGACGTTTTTCTGAATTTTGTGGGTTTTGTGTTTGTGTTTGTCTTATGTTCAAAATGTTAGTTTCTGGTGACATTACATGAAATTTTTAAACCTTTCTGCATGGATATTACAATACCAATGGCATTACTAACAGTACAGCTACTGGAAACAGTTTACAATTTCTTTGCAGCTCTTTTGGTCTTTGCTAAAACATTTACAATCAAATTACTCTAAAGTCACTTGAATCACTGCTCCCTGTGTGTTTAAGCAAGCTGCTTGATATATAGGTGAGTTTATTTCATTTTACTTTCAAATTGGGGGGGGGGATAGGTTTCGAAGTTCTTGATTCAATTTTGTTTGATAATTATGTTAAAAATTTATATAATTTATGTAGTTTCAGAGTCAAAACTAGAAAACCAGGTAAATCTGGAGAAGATTGGATTGCTTTTGTTCCTTTACCCTTTTCTCTTCCATAGCAAATAAATTAATTAGCTTATGTTTTATTATTTATTTATTTGGTACTGGGAATAGAACTCAGGACCTTGGCCTTGCCAGGCAGGTGCAGTGCCACTGAGCTACATCCTCGGCCCTCGTTTTTATTTTTTAATGGATCCAAATTTGTATATTTTTTCCCTTAGGAGAATAGCAGTATACTATTCCCAGTGTTTTTGACATCTAGTTTTTTTCATTTATGAATATTCCCTGGAGGACACACCATCACAGTTTATAAGAATTTCTTATTAAGATTTGTTTTATTGGACACCACATCACCATACCTTGCAGGCAATGTAAATTTATAACCCTCACCCATTTTTTTAGGTTGTTCTCTTTTCCAGGAAACTTTCCTATCCAGAGCCTTTGGCAGAAAACCAGCTTCCCTGCTGGAGTCCAGGGCTGGGGAGCACAGGTTTTAGTTTGTATATAAGCTCCTCCCTCCTTTAAATGGAATAAGCTTCTTTGGATGATCTGAAAATTTTTTTCAGGAGTCTCAGTTATTTCACTCTAGCTCTCTACTTGTGCGGGTCCCAGCTGCACAACCCTGCCTGCTCATGGATACCTTATGCCTTTAGCTACTGGTCCCTGCACTCAGTTTCTTCTTTATGATGCCTGAAATTGTCAGGCTGTCGTTTTATACACTGTACCTCTGCCTTTGAGTTCCCTCTTTGTTTCTGAAGTCTGATTATTTCAGAGCTACGTACTAATTTTTTTTGTCTGTATTTTATCCAGCATTTCTGGGTGTTTGGAGCAGGAGCAATTCACTTTGTCATGTTTCCAGAAGTAGATTAACTGTATTTACTTCTGTCACCCATGTGTCATCCTTTTCTGTAATTAACTAGATGAAGGAGTGTGTGTGTGTGTGTGTGTGTGTGTGCACGTGTTCCCACTGAATCTTTTCCCTTTTCTTTGAAAAGATTATTAATCTTGTTTTCAGCATATTTCCATCCTTTCCTCTCTGCCTGCTTCTTCTTCTTCTTTCTCTATATCAAACAAAAATTTGTTTGAGGGAATGCAGGTCAATTAATCTTAGCACTTCTTTCCAGAAAGCAACAAAGCCACAGGCTTTTAAACAACATTACAGTGAATATACAGTAAATAATAGAAAAAAAATTTAAGTACAATGTGTCAGCTTTAAGGTAGTTTCTTAGTTCAGGGTATTTGGGGTCATTTAATTCCTGTTGATTTTATGTCTTTGTTTTACTCATGCTGTCCTCTAACTTGTCCCTTCACTGTGGCTTTCTTTTTATACTCCTTTACTTACAGTGTAGGTGTTTCATTAAAACTGTGACTGGTATTGGCATGCTGCATAGGGAAACTTTTGTATTTAATACTTTTTAACTGGATCTTTTTGCTCCATTCATTTTTGAGAGTTTAAATATAGAGGCAGTATGAATATGCTGTTAAATAGCTTGGAAGTATACAAGTCATAGTTTAATCTTCAGATCTATAGAAGACATTGGTAGTCTTCAGAAAAAAATTCTCCTTTAGAGATGCCCCAGGTACTTAAACTTTGAGCAGAGGTATGAATTTTGCAAAAACATGAGAAAAGTTGTTTCAACCAGTTTTTGGTGTGATATAAATAGTAATTTTGTTTTTACTTGTTTTTGTTAGCTCTTAATTCACATAAAATATTTAGGCAGAGAAGAAAACAATGGAAGAAAGACTATCAGCTCTTTCTTTACACTATATTAAGTGGCTCCAAGAAAAGTTAACTTTCAGCATCATTTAAAAGATGTTGTCATTGTTCTTAGCATTGTTTTGGCTATAAGACTTATTTTTTAAGAAACTAAACTGCTTATAATCAGCTTTCCATCACTATGACAAAATACCCGAGGTAAACAACTTATAAAGAGGAAAGGTTTATGTTGGTTTATGGTTTCAGTCTATGGTTGCTCGGTCCCATCGGCAGCACATCATGGCAGGAGGGTAAGATGGGGGGACCTGCTCACTGCATGCCAGTAGGGAAGCAAAGAGAGGAGCAGAGAGGGGAGCCAATGTCTCCTTCTAGGTTATGCCTCTCCTAGTGCCCCAGTTTCCTTTTCCTGGGACTAAAGCCTCCACTGCTCCCCAGTAACACCCTGAGCCAGGAAGAAGCCTTCAGCACAGAGGACCAGGGGTGGGGAGGCCGTTCAAGACCCAAAGGATGATAACACTTCTTTTTGAAAAGGAATGTTTAGAACATCTAATACAAATTGGCATGTGCTCTATTTAAAGCTATGCATCGATCAACAAACTTGAAAGTAAGTTGTTCCCTAATTGATTCAAATTTCATAAATCCACTCACTGTGGGCCTTCACTGGCATATTTAATGAAAACATGAGAAAGGCCAGAAAGCTAGGGAGAATCTTAGCTTGGATTTGTCCTGACGCTTCAGCTGTGGCGTGTGCCATCATTTTTTTCTTACCCATTTGTTATGTCACTGGTGTCTTAGGTACGTCCGCCTGGATGTAGACATGTATTATAAATATACTCTGAGAATTGTTAGCACGTTTAACTATGAGTTTATACGTAAACACAATTATACATCAATTAATAAACAAATCAAAGTTTAATGAGGTCACACTGCCACGTCGCCGTGGTCCCTCAAACTTTCCATCTACTGAAATTTGCCAAAGCAGTCTTTGAGCCACACGTTGAAAACAGAGTCTGTGAACCAAGCAGTTGAAAGACTGACAGCTGACTGAAGAGAACACAACCTTTTATTTGGCTTCAGGCAGCCAGAGTTTTAGTCACAGCTGTGGTGATGAGCGGAGGGGGGAAGGCTCAGCTTTCACACAGCAAGTTAAGAAAACATGGCCCAGGATCTCCGTGGCTCTCCCAGCCGTTTCCGGCTTCGGAATTCTTCATGGGCGTCCTTCACGTTGCATTAATAGAAACCCAACCAGAAAGCCAGGCTTTGAGTTATTTTGTGTCTATTACTGTCTGTGGGAATAACAAGATAAAGCTACTACTAATCACTGGAGGATTTGGAAGAATTATCTTTTTAAAAGGGGGCCTCTACCACATATATAAAAAATTATAGGGAGGATGACATTACAGAAGTCCACACATTTGAGCAGAGAATTTCGGTGTCGTTGGGTTTCTTCTCATGTAGTTTCCTCTGGATGTAGGCATTTTCTTGTTGATGAGTGACCCTATTTATTTAATAAACAATAAACAGCTAACTAAACACTTAGAAAGTGACCTTGTAGTTACATATGTCTTTCTTTTGCTAGCAATGTTATGCACATCTCTGTATTATGTATCCAAGGATCTTGAATCTTGTAAAGGGATCAGATTCAGGAGAAAATGTGTGCTTTCAAATACCAGATATGAATATTCAATTAGCAAGAACAACAAGAGAAAAATATTACAAAAGTCATGGTATGTAAATTAAGAATGACTGGGAGCAATTACTATACACACACACACACACACACACACACACACACACACCAGGCACACATTAAGAACACCTGTATTTCTTTGTTGTCAACACATGAACAAATAAGAATATGTTAGTAGAGAATATGTTTAGCTGCTTAACAGTAAAAACAAATTGTTCCCATAATGTGTATACTAAAGAGGATGCCTGCTTCATAATACTCAAGGTAAGGAGACACGGTAGAGAGAAAAGGGAATAATAACATTAAGTCCTTAAATGAAAGCAATTCTGAAAAGGAAGGGGGTCTTTCTACAAGGAGAAGCCATGTCATATCCCACATGCTGATTTCTTGAATAGATTTCTTGCCAAGTTACATTTTCCCTGGACTCTAGAATTTATAAGATGTGCTTAAGCTGACATTAACAACACAGCAGTTTCTTTTTCTTACAGAGAAGTCAGCTTGGGCAGAGCAAGACATAAACAGAAAATATTGTTAATTATTTACACAAAGGCAAAGAAAGATGAAATGTGGGTTTTGCATTTATTTTGTATTACATTTTCTGGCCTAAGAATTAGTAAAGTAATGGAGAGATTCTTCTTGTTTGTTTCATTTTGCTTTTATTTACTTTCAGGGATATCTAACAACAATATTTGAAGATCAGTTGGATATGTAGTCCTGGAGAGGTAATCTATTTTTCTCACTTCTAATCTTCTATAATGGGGTACTGAGTTTCCTCTTTATACTAAGATCATAGTCATGATGTGTGGCAGCCTTACTGTCTCCTTTAACAGCATTTTGAGACATATATTCTGTTTTCAGTTTATAGTATCTGCAAAACATTCTTTTCCTGGTTTTAAAGTCATAAAATAAATTTGGAAAACTAGTTTGAGGAGAGGATTCCTGAAATTAACAATTAGTGATGTCACTGAAATCATTTTAAGAAGAATTTATTGTTTTTAAAACTAGATATCCATAAGTAGTCATATTTGTATGTACAAATAATACCTTACTGCAAGATTTTATTTAGTACACATATTTATATGTTAAAGATTTAAAAACTTTAGGAAATTTTTTACCAAATAGAATAAGACAGAAGTATTGGCTGGGTGTGGTGGCACATGCCTGTAATCCCAGCACTTGGGAGGCTGAGGCAGGAGGATTTCTGTGAGTTCAAGGCCAGCCTGGGCTACCTAGTGAGCCCAAGGGCTGACTGAATAGCATAGTGAGACCCTGTCTCAAAAAAACCAAAAAAACAAAACAATAAGTATTGTTTTTGGATCCATTGTGCGTGTGTGTGTGTGTGTGTGTGTGTGTGTGTGTGTGTGTTTGGTGTTGGGGATCAAATTCAGTGCCTTTCACTTGCTAGGCAAATGCTTTCCCACTGAACTAAATCTTCGGTGCTATCTCAGATTCTTAATTCACCTCCATAACATGGTCAAGGCTAAATGTCTTCTGTTACTTGACGAGACATCTGCAAACATTCACATTTCATTGCAGAAAATATGTTCTTCCTGTGGCTGATACCTTCGTGAGAAATTTGGCACGCTTCTCCATGCGCGTTTTTGCCTTGTACTTGATCTTATTTTGTCACTTGAAAAGAATTATAATTTAATGCTAGATTTGGACAAAAATCCAATATCAGGGAAGAAACTACACAAAGGATTGAAAAGAAGAGCGACATATCTGCAAACCCGATGGAGGATGTAGATTAAATCCATTTAAGTACAAGATCACTATTTGCAAAATTCATGATGTTTGCAAGGATCATAGAAAAATCCATGAAACCTTATAAGTAGTTATTTAGATGGACTGGTGCTCACAAGAATGCTGATTCTGTCTTGGAATTTTTGTTGCTTAGAGGGAATTATTATTATTATTTTTTTGTTTGGCAACCACTAATGTGCTTTCTGTCAGCATGGATTTGCTTATTCTATATATATATATGATGTAAAAAGAACCGTGTGCTGTGGTTGGCATGTAATTGGTCTCCTAAGGTTCATGCGCTGGAGTTTGGTTAGTGGGAGTGGTTAGGTCTTCGAGGGTGCTGCCCTTGGAAGGGGTTAATGTAGATTTCATGGAACCTTAGTTGGCTCCCACAAGAGGAAGTTTTTATAAAAGAGTAAGAATGATTCCTCCCAGCTCTGTGGCTTCCTGTCCTGCCACTTGATCCCTCTTGAGTGCTCTTCTGAGGCAAAGCCCTTGGTCCTGAAGTGCTCAGCAGAGGCTGAACAAATGGGGCTCACTGATCTTGGACTTTCAGCCTCCAAAACAGTGAGCTAAACAAACCCTTTAAAATGTATCTATCACCCAGTCTCAGGTATTTTGTTGTGGCAATGGGCAACGGACTAATAGATCATGTAATATGTGACTTTTTGTGTCTGCTTCTTTTCTCACCATGTTTTCAATGCACACACATACACAAATGCTCATAGACCTAAACCCTCCTATACTCCCCATCACAATTTATTCATCCATCGATGGGCATTTGGACTGTTTCCACCTTTTTATTATTATGAATAATACTGCTATAAACATCTGTGTATGAGTTTCTGTGTGAACATCTTTTCGTTCCTCTTGGGTACATATCTAGGAGCAGAATTTTCCGAGTTGTATAATAATGCTGTGTTTCACTTTATGAGGAATAGCCATACTTTTTGCACAGTGGCTGTACTATTTTACATGCCCACTGATAATGTATGAAAATTCCTACTTCTATATATTTTTGTTAACATTTACTATTTTTTACATTTTTTATTAAATATACACTAATGAATTTGAAATGGAATCTTATCTAGCATTTTCTTAATGACCAATAATGTTGTGCTTGTTAGACATTTCTTTTTGGAGAAATGTCTATTCAATTCCTTTACCCATCTTTACAGTATTTGAGCTGTTTGTCTATTTGTTAGGTTGTAAGGGTTCTTTATAGATTCTTGATATTAATCTCTTATCAGATATATGATTTGCAAAATTTTTCTCCCATTCTCTTCACATTCTTGGAAATATCCTTTGGTACACCAAATATCTTAATTTTTATGATGCCAAACATACCTATTTTTTCAATGTTCCAAACTTTTTATTTTTTACAACTGAGAAAAACAGATGTTTTAAAAATGAAACAGAAAATTGGGAAGGATAGGTAACTTTTCATATATAATTTAAGTTTTTTTCTTTTGATTTAACTTTAAGCTCTGGAAACTGCAGAGTGTAAAGTTTTTTTTTAATCATTTGAGGGTAACTTGCTAACACCAGCCCACATTAGCCCAGGCTGCTTTAGTTTGTAATTACTAACAATAAAGACATTGGCCTTCATGTTCAGAATACAAATATCACAATCAGGAAGTTAGAACAGTATCATCAGATCCACAGAACTCATTCAAGCTTTGCTGTTGGTCCCAGTTATGTCCTTTTTAGCAAAATAGTTTAATTGAGGTTGCAATTTTGCCTTTAGCTGTTGTGTCTCTTTGGCGTCTTTCAATCTGGAATAGTTCCTTAATGTGTCCTTACTTTTATGATCTTGGCAGTCAAACCTATCTTTTCCCTTTTGTTTTTGTGGTAGTGGGGATTGAACTCAGGCATAGTGTACCATTGAGTTATATCTCAAGCACTTTTTAGTTTTTAAACTGAACAGGGTCTCACTAAATTGCCCAGGAGAGATTCAAATTTATAATCTTCCTGTCTCAGCCTTCCTCAGGGCTAGATTACAAGTATGTGTAGTAAACCACTACTACCTCTATTTTTAATTTTTAACATTTTATGAAAAATCTAAGAATCCATTACCAAATCTGGGGTCATGAAGATTTAATTCTATGATTTCTTCTAACAGTTTTATAATTATAGCTTTTATATTAGGTCATTGATCCATTTTGAGTTAATTTTTGTATAAAGTATGAGGTGGGGGATTCAAATTCATGGTTTATAAAATTTATTTGCCAATATTTGCATTTTAATTGGTGAGTTTGATTTTTATTTAAAATGTTACTGATAGTTAATTTCTTTCATTGTGCTACTTGTTTTGTATATTTCATGTCTTGTTTTTACTCAATTCCTCCAATATTGTCTCTTTTGTTACGATTGATTTTTCTGGTATATTATATTAATTTCTTTATCTGTATGTTAAATTATTTTCTTAGAGATTACTGTGGGGATTACAATTGATGTCCTATATTTACAACAATCTAAAGTGATACCAATTTAGCTTTAGTAACATATGTTGACTCTGTTCCTAACTTCATTTTCCCCTTTATGTTGTTGCTGTTACAAATTACATCTTTATGCATTATGTAACCATTAATGTAGGTTTATATTTATTGTTTTATGCATTTATCTATTAAATCATACAGAAAATTAAAAAATGAATTATATACAAAGATATATTATTACTAGGTTTTATATTTACCTATATAGTTATCTTCACCAGTGATTTTTACTTTTTTGCATGATTTTAAGTTTCATTTTAGTGACTTTCCTCTTGAGTCTAAAGGACTCATTTCTTTTAGAACAAGTCTACTTGCAATGAACTCCCTTAGTTTTTGTTTATCTGGGAATGCCTTAGGTTTTTCTTTTCTTTTTTTTTTTTTGGTACTGGGGATTGAACTCGGGTCCTTCTGCTTGTGAGGCATGTGGCGGAACCACTGAGCTAAATCCCCAGCCCAGGTTTTTCATTTTTAAGGGATTGTTTTTCTGGATATAAATTCCTAATCGGTACTTTTCCCCTTTTTATATTTTAAATAGTTCACTCTATTTTCTTTTTCCCTCCATAGTTTCTGATGAGAACTAGTCAGTTAATCTTATTGAGGTTGAGTTGAATGTGATGAATTGCTTCTCTCCTGCACCTTTCAAGATTTTCTACAGCAGTTTGATTGTAATATATGTCGGTGTAGATCTCTTTGAGTCTGTTCCGCCTGAGTCCTGCCAATTCTATCTCTCATATACTGTAACTTCCATGATGTGTATGTTGGGGTGCTGGATCTTATCCCTTAGGTCTTTTAGTCTTGGTTCATTTTTCTTCACTAATTTTTTGTCTTTTCCCTAGATTGCATAATTACCATTACCCTACTTACAGGTTTGATGATTCCTTCTTTTGCCTGTTCTAATTAGCTGTTGAATATGTCTTGTGATTTTTTTTAATATCATCTCTTCTACTTTTCAGCTCCAGGATTCTTACTTTTTTACAATAATTTCTATTCTCTTGTTGATATTCCTAATTTGTTCATGCATAGTTTGTGTAATTTATTTTAGTGATTTATGATTTACTTCAGCTCTTTGAATAAAATAATGAGAGTTAAAGATTTTTAGTAAGTTTAATGTTTGAGTTCCTTAGGAATGGTGTCTGTCAGTTATTTTCCCTGTGAATGGGTCATATTTTTCTATTTTGTATACTTTGTATTTTTTTTGAGAACTGGACATTTTGCATATTGTAATGTGATAATTCTGGAGATCAGATTCTGCTTTCTACATCAAGGGTTGTTGTTGCTTGAAAAAAACTTCAGTTGCTCATTCACTTATTGCCTGTTCCAAATTGTTTTGCAGAGAGTGTTTCCTGTTATCCACGGTGTCCTAGGTACATGTTCTGTTATCTTCATGGTCAGTCAGTGAGCTAACAGAGATTTCTTTAAATGTCTGGATCAATAGGAGAAGAGAGAATAAAGCGTGTTTTGTTTTTAACTTCCTCTTACGGATG